ACCTAGGATTGCAAGTGCTTCCTTAAGACAAAGTGTAAACCTATTGCATGCTGACTGCAACTTAATCATTTTACATTTGTGACAATTTAAATTCTCCAAGAGTTTATTAGAGTAGAACTTCCATGTTGATTTTGGGATTTTTCTTCTATTTATTTTTTTCTACAACAAAAGAAGACTGATTCATTTATGATGATGTCTCAGAAATTGGAGTTTGGGGGAAAGTCTATTACTTGGGAAAGGTAACCAAAATATCAAGCTTTTGTGTTCTGTTTCTACCATATTTAGCTGATTCTGCAGCTGGTCGATCAGCGCCAACTTGGCCATGTTAATTGTTGTGAACTCATATTCGTAACTTTGCTGTCATTTAGATGATTGTGATCTAATTAATAATGACACCTTCCTTTTGAAGGTTATGGAATTATGTAAGAGCCACTTGGACGGAACATTAAAAATTTACGACCTACACTTTAATTTAACGCATTAAACTACATATCTATATTAAATTTTGGTACACATCTGTGTTGTTACATAATTAGGTTAAGTATTTGACTTTGTGGCTCACGTGTTTGGTTTCATTTAATTATTGAGACCCATGCATATTGTCACATTTGGTCATTTAATTATAACATTCTGTTCAAGCACACTAGAAAATTTCAACAATCATCAAAATACTAAATGATCGAAAGGTGCCAAATAAAACTATAACGTGACTTATTATCAAACTCAAAAATAAACCTAAAATCTCAATGTATTTGATTAAGTATAACCTAACACCTTTTATCTCCGCGTATTCCTCTCTTGTAGGACTGTAAGCCATTATCTCGGCAACTTGAGGCTCGTTCGTACCTTAAAACACGTTGCACTGCTTATATTTAAATTATCAAATCTTCTATTTGATGGTTTGGTTGGTTATTTAAAGGAGAATTTACTAGTAACAATACTAAGAGATTTTAAAAGTGCTAGGTAGGTCAAGCACTCATCTGATTCAACTGAGTCAGGAGCCCATTTCATTGGTAAACCATAAATTCAAACCTAAGAAAATGATTATATATCTAGTGTAACAAAACATATGAATATGTCAAACCATAAATGAATTTGCATTGTAATTACCTCATATAGTCCATTGTGAATGAATCTGCATTAGAAAATAAAAATGAATTGGCAACAATAAACATGTGGTCTACAAAATGGTTCAGTTCTATTTTGATGAAGTGTTTGGTTCATCAAATCTGTTAGTTTCTTTATCTTATCTACCTTACTTCTTTTTCAAACACACCAATAAATTTCAATAATCAACAAAACCCCAAATGATCGAAATATTCTAAACAACTATAACATAACTTATTTCCAAACTCCAAAATAGACCCAATATCTAAATGCATTTAGTTAAGTATAACTAGTCCTTATCTAGATCCAATTTGAATCATAACTATATCAAATTGATAATTAATTATAGTTCTTGGATTTGAAAAATTAAAAATATAGGTCCAATGATTCCGATTCTAATTTGAATCATCAATTTGATCATTTTTATATAAAAAAAATTGTTGGGCTCTAATGATAAGGCCCAACAGTCATTGCTTGGCCCAACAATCGGAGAAGAAAACGATTCGTTTATCCCAGTGATATAAATGACTATATTTATGGATATTTTAGTTATTTTATAATTTAAATTTTAAAAAAATTATCCTTTCAACAACCAAGTAATCGATAGTTTTGGAGATATTTTAAAGAAAAAAATAAAAAACCTTATAAATACTCTTGAAATCTCTAATTCTGTCTCACATCATTGATTAAGCGCTCATTAAAGTTTGAATGCTCTAATGCTTTTTTCTTAACATGATGGTAAGTGGAAGCTACAACTTGGATATCAAGCTGAAGGAAACAGATATGATGACTAAACTCAAGTTAGACATATTCGACTATACTTAAAAAATGTCTAAAACATCGATGACTCCTTCCATATCACATGGAATTATTAGAGTTAAAAATTTTAAATTTAAAGAAGAAAAAAGATAAGAACATTATGGAAAAAACATCCAATAGCTATACTAATTCATTTTTTAGTACCATACTAATTCATTTTTTTTATTTTTTATATTAAAAATATGAAACATTAGCTATATTAAGTTTTGTTAAATATTTATCTTTTAATTTCGATGAAAAAATTAGATTTATTGATTATTGTCAAGGCTTTAAATCCTACCACACTTGCTCACACATTATATAATTTTTATAAAAAAAAATATTATGTTTCCATTTATTTTGATATTTAGAGTGATCACTAACAAATATACACATATATAGGAATCACTTATCATTGGATTGATAGCAATTGGACCATATATAAAAAATTATTGCTTTTAGAGTTTTTGTTGAATGGCATATAATCAATAATATTTATGAAATGATAAATTTTATAATATATAATTTGATTCTTAAATTTTTCCATTGATTTTAATAATACAATGATAAATACCGCTTTTATTTTGAAATTACAAGAAGCTAGTCAGCTTGTTTTCCATGGTTTTTTTTTTCATGTTAGATGTGCTTGTCATATTTTGAATTTGTGTGCACAACAAGGACTTGGATCTTTTTGAACTTTTATATCTCCTATTAAGCAACCTATTTCATTCTTGTGAAGTCATCCATAAGTAATGAAAAAATAAGTTAAATTTTACAAATTAAATGATAAAAAGATCAAAATATTTTTTAGAGATGTTTCTACCTAATGGAATTCAATATATAAATTATTTTAAAAATCTTTTGAATATAAAAAATATTATATATTTTTTATTTCAAATAATATTATGAAAGTTTACTTATATTCACAACATTGGAATGTATGTGAAAGAATTTTTAAATTTTTTAATAATTTAATATATATTTTACTAGTGTTTATTATCTTACTATGCATATTTTTGTTGTTGTTTGTATTAATATGCTTAGTTAATTATAAGAATATAAATATGATAATAATTTTAATATGATAATAATGATTATAAAATAAAAAAAGAGAAAATATTTTTTAATTCTATCGATTTTTTTAATTACATATGTTTTTAACCCTCGTAGAAGATTAAGTGACTATAGTAATTATTCAATTATTTAACCACTTATTATGAAAGTTTAGGAGTCAATGATATTGGTCATAAAATTAAAGATTGTTAAATCTCGAATTTTATGGTAAAATCGATTGATGAAGTTGTGATTTAATATGTGTTTGAATAACGTAAGATTAATCTCGATCAAGGAAAAGTAATTCGAATAAAGAAGAAATAATCATACGTTGGGCTGAAGTAGAACATGTCAAAAGATTGGACGTCAGGCTGGAGGACTGGTTGATATGTCGGAAGGATTTCATGCCATGAGTTCGAGCATCGGGTCTATCATGTCGATTGGGTAATATATTGAAAGAGATGATGATGCATCAAAAGACCAGATGAAGCATCGAATGAATCAATAATATGCTAGATAAGATATGATTCATTCTTATAATTGTGTGTTTAGATCAAGTTAATTTAGATCTAATTGACTCAATTTTGGGATAAAACAATGCAACTCAATTAGGGGCTCATTGGGCCTAAGTTGGGGTTGTTTTGGGCCAAGTGGAAGGCCCATTCAGTGACCTTGAACTGGCCCAAGCGGTGGCACCGCTTGAGGCTTAGCTTCCTAAGGTGTCTGGGTGGTGATATCACCCAAACAAAATCTTCGAGACTATGTGAAGCGGTGGTACTGACTAGTGTTAATGTGAGACTAGGCGATAGTACCATATAGTGTCAGACTGACAGACGATAGTACCACCCAGTGTCAGACTGATAGGTGGTGGTACCGCTAATTGTCAGTCCGGTAGGTGGTGGTACCGTCCAGTATTGACGATGGTACCGCTAGTACCTTGAAAACCCGGGATGAGACTGTTTTGATTCTAAATTTGAATCCATTTGAGGTCTGTAAATATCCTACTCATCCCTGCTCGGTTAACACAAGAATTGAGAATAAATTTGTAAGAAAACGCTATTGTAATTTAGTGAGAATTTTTCTCATTTTCTCAATTTTTGTTTAAGGGAGGGGTGAGTGACTTATAAAGGTTATCTTTTAAACCTGAGAAAAGTATTGTAATAGGGTATTTAATCTTCGCCTATTGAAAGAAGATTGATAGTGAAAGTTGGTGGCCTCGATGGAGGAAGAATCAGGATTGATGTAGGTCACGATGACCGAATCACTATAAACGCGATGTGCACTTTAAATTATTGTTGTCTATTGATTCAACCGTTACTGTTTTTGCTTGTACTCTACATTTAAACATCTTTTCGATATGAGATTTATCGAATAAAAATTTTGAATCGATGTAATTTTTATAAAAGTACTTATTCACCCCCCTTTCTTAGTGCCAATTTCGATCATAATAGAAATATTAAAAAATTAATTATTAACTTATATTACTATTATAGTGCTAACTATAATAGACAACCTTCCAAACTTCTCTATCAATAGATCAAGTTATTAGAGAAAATAAAAATTGTAAGAGAGAAAACCTATTATTACAAAGATAAAAAAATCAAAGGGATCATCAAGGTCAATCTAACAAATTTTTTTTAGTGTTGCGACAATACTAGTAGAAAGTTCTTAACTACGGCCGAAACCATTGATGTCACCGGCCGCCCGATAAGTGGGCCGGGCGAGCGAGTTCAACCGGGTGCAGCCCAGGCACCCGAATGATTCAGGTTTCGTCGAGCCCGAGTCAAGTAAATTTGGTTCTCTGGTTCGATTCAACCAGATGAGAACGACATCCTCAAATTCGGACCCGTGCCCTAAATGCAGCGGTGAAACTGTCTCCGTCTCTACAGCGACCGCGACTGCGGCGTTTTCCTTGGCGAAAGGCGGCAGCAGCGGCGGCATCTTCCTCCGTCGAGCTCTTATCGCTGCGGCGTTTTCCTCCGAGAACGGTGGATGCTGCGGCTTCCTCTCCGCCAGCGAACGGTACAGCGTCCGGTATCTCTCTCTTACTCCTCCTCCTCTTCCTCCTCCATCGCCGTTGCAGAATCCCTTCTCCTCCCTCCTCCTGCCTCTTCCCCCATTCGTCGCAGCTCTCCCGCTTCCCCGACACCATCCTCCTCCTCCCTTCTCCTTCCTCCTCCCTCTTTCACCCGTTCATCGCATCCCCCCGCCCCTCTTCCCCTCCCCCTCGCCCTCCTCCACTTCATCACAGGCCCCGCCCCCCGTTTTCCTTCTCCGATCCCAACAGTCCCCTCTCCGTTTTCCTACTCCGCACCCGACAGCCCCCTCTCCATTATCTTGCTCCGGCCTCGACAGCCACCATCTCCCTCCTCTACACCCCTCTTCGCTCTCTCTACACATCTTCCCCTCCCCTTTCCTTCTCCCTGATAGTTACTCGCTACCCTCCCAACAAGCAGTCAGCAGCTTATCATGAGCATTTACTTAAAAGAAATAGAAAGTCACAGTATGCATGTTAAATACTGTTGTTAAGATAGACAGCAGGAGAAGTGCTGCTTTTATAAAGAGCAAAGGGAATTGGGGAGTCTTAGAGAAAAAGAAAAAAACATGGAAAAGATAGAACAAGAGATAGCAGAGACAATAATTGGGTCACTGTCCAAAGAAAATCATAATTATTTCAGTAGAATCATGCACAAGTCTGACTATTCCTCATGTGAAGCATTTTAATTAAAAATATACCTAACATAATACTAATCTGACTAGGTTTCCCAATAGAAGCTCTCTCAACAGCAACTGCTTATTTTGATGAAGCGTTTGGTTCATCAGACCTCTTAGTTTTCTTATTATCTTTACTGCATTGCAGTTTCTTTTTCAAGCACATCAGAAAATTTCAACACAAAACCCCAAATGACACAAGGGACTTGACTCGATCTAAACTACAAGTTGAGTCAACAACTAGAATTTGACTTGATTTCCAAACCCGAAAATAGACCCAAAATCTCAATGTATTTGGTCAGGTATAACCTTACACCTTTATGTCAGCATAGTGTGTTCTCTGCTGTAGTGCTGATGATAATGATCGCTTCGAGGGGATCGGCCTCCTTGATCGTTTCGAGGGGATCGGCCCTCCTTGATCACTTTGAGGGGATCGGCCCTCCTTGATCACTTCGAGGGGATCGACCTCCTAGGGTTTGTCCAAAGACAGAATAATATTTTTCATAGATTACTGAAAAGAAGCAGTTACATCCCTATTTATAGAGTTCCACCCAGAGTCCATCAGGACTTGAACTCTAATAATAAATAAATATTAGATAAACCTCTACTTGACTCTAACTGAACTAAACCGACTCAATAAACAAATGGACTAAACATACTCAATAAACATTATTCAAAAGCTCAGAAAAAGGGTCATAACAGTTCCTCCCTCTTCAAATCAGCCTTGTCCTCAAGGTTGAGCAGCATCAATCTCGGGGAGCTTCTCTTTCAGCACTTTAGCCATAGCCTATCTGCAACGCATCACAACCCGTTGATCAAGTAAGTATGATCTCCACTTTTTGAGAGTGTAAGCAACAGGTCGATTTTTCAGTATAGTAATCGTTGCATGAAACTTCTGGCCCTGTATAATCAATTTTATCTTTGAACCTTTGCTATCACAAGTGAAAATACGTCCATCAATGATCTTTACTTCGAATCTGTCATAGTCTTCGATGTGGTGGGCCAATCGGTCAACAGTCTGTCCATAAAATTGTTAGTGCTACTAGTATCAATCAAAACTATAATAGGCTGATGCTCTCGAGTTTCGGCAACTTCCATAGTTTGCGGGTTAGAGTAATCGGCTAATGTATGCATTATATGTGCGGTAGGTTCAACGTCTTCATTAGAATTTATACCTTCATGATCGGAGTCCACATTCTTCGCTTTCGGCTCCTCTCCAATTGGTTCAATCATCAGAAGTTGTCATTCTTTACATCGATGCTCCATACTCCATTTTTCATCATAATACAAACCCTTTGCTGATCTTTCCTTAAGTTCTTCTTGGGTTAGTCTTCGTCTGTCAAGGCTTTGGTTGGGAATAGATAGGGCTGGTAGCTTACTGATCATCTGGTTATTGTCACTTTTGTTTCCATGATTTTCCCTGTTGATTTTTTTCTCATGTAGGTGTGCGAATGAGATTGCAGCTATCATAGTGCGAGGTTGACGAGCTTTAACTTCACACCGGATCTCTGGAATAAGACCTTCAATAAATGTATCTAGAAGTTGTCGTTCCGACCAATCTCTAACTTGATTTGATAATCTTTCAAACCTACTCTGATATTCCAACACTGTAGAAGTCTGACAAATTTTTGAGAGCTCTCCATCCGCCTTCATGTCTGAGTAGATTGTGTCACAATCTTGGGGCCCTTTTCTAGTATTTTCATATCTGTGCAACATAGAATTTGAGCTCCCACCTTGAAATTTACTAAGGCTCCCCAGTAAGTCCTTTTTGAAATCATTAAGTATTTCTTGCAACCGGTTCTCAATTCTGATTTCCAATGCTTCCATTTGTGCTTTCATTGAGTTATCGGTGGCCATTTTGTAAAACCGCAAATCTGTAATCTCAACTCCTGTTTCTGGTGTCAAGACTAGGGCATAAATCACTGCCCTACTCGGTGTTGTTGTTGTGATGCAATCGGTGGTAGCACTATTGGAATGAAGGGTTGCTGCGAGGATGTGGGGATGTAGCTGCGTTCGCTGCGTGGGAGGCAACGATGCTTGTTGTGGTCGTTGCGTGGAGGGATCACTACTGCTGAGGGCTGGGAGGCAGCGATGGTTGTGCGGCTGGGGTAGCACCGCCAAGGGCTCGCCGCTGCGATGGCTGCGACGGCGTAGATGGAAGGCAGCATTGCTCTGTCTCTATCACACTGCGGAAGGAGGCACTGGTGAGAGGCAACGATGCTTGTTACAATTGCTACGTGGAGGGATCGCTGCTACTGAGGACTGAGAGGTAGCGATGGTGGTGCGGTTGGGGGCAGCGTC